TACTGATTTCTTGTCTGCCATAATCTCAAAATTCAAATAAACAGAATATTTTGAACACCGAAAATCAACGGAGCACACCTGTTGAAAACACCAGAATGGATATGCACGTAACAAAGCACAAATATGTGATATACAGGACAAGGCGAGCCAAAAGACAATGACCGAAAAATTTTTGCGACAGACACGCCTCCACGCGCCAGCGCGTGAGACACACGCACAGGGCTTCTGACTGCTGGACTTTGCAGAACCTCCGATCGGCGGGCGGCGCTTCTTCCTGGATGGGCGGTGAGAGTAAAAAAAAACTGCTCCAAGGAGGTGACCCGAAACACCCAAAAATTTTCCTCTACCTAGTGTTTACTTAGGAAAAAAAACGAAAGGGCAGGCAGAGACTAGATACTCTGATACCATGTAAAACAAGAGTAAACAGAGGAAGAAGAAGAAGAATTTGTTATATGTATTCTTCAATCTCGTATGTATATTTACAAGTTACAAATTCTATGTTAGGAAAGAAGACTAATTAAATTCCTACAAATCAGTCCTACAATCAAGGTAAATCATATCTCCCTAGTATTTACTACCTATTCTGTAACATCATATCTCCCTAGTATTTACTTCCTATTCTGTAACAAATTTCAAGATGCCCAAATCTTTTGCTATGTGGATGCCAATGAGATTAGCCATTAACTCTGCCTAAGTAGGGTCTGCAATTCCAGTTGGACCACTAAAAGCCCAACAAATGTTACCAGAACTTCTAACCACTCCTCCAATTCCAGTTTTACCCAGGTTTCCTGTGGCAATTCCATCAATGCTTAGAGTCAGTCAGCACCCCATCCACTCTAGGGCTTAAGCCTTGTGGGGTGGCCAAAGGCTTTGGGGAGGAGAATAAGAAATTGACCACATTCCCGTGAAGGTTGCTTATAGATATTTCTTTAAAGAACTCTGAACTGGTGATCCACAGAAAGGAACTATGAGATGCCATACTATTTGCACACCTAGGTACCCACTGAAATGTAAACTCCAAGTCTTCAGCCTACTTTCTGACTTCTCTTAGAGTATATCTGTGAGACCATGTTCCTTGRTAGTTGTTTCTCAACCAGCCCACGACCACTTTAGTATCTCCCTCCACAACAATGTTTCGATATTGAAGAGTTTTTCCCAGATTTAGGCCATTAAAATAAGACTTCCTTCTCAAGTTTTTACTTCTAAGTTTAAATTGCCAATGGCCTCATTGGTAGAGAATTTAATTTGCCAATGCCTACAGCAAAGAAAGTATCTTGGAAGATTATTTAACTTATCCAGGATCACACCTTATGGTGTTTCTCTTTGATTTAAGTCAAATTGTAAATTCATATTTTTTCATCTTATGTCTACAAATTAAGAAAATAATGTAAACTAAAGGACAATTGGCCAGCRATATAAATGATACACATGGAGATCATGTAGGAAAAGGAAGCTATCCTTCAGTGTGCTTCTACAGATAAAGGAGGTTTCTTATGCTATAATGCTTGATCAAATGATCCCAACTGCTTAAGCTATTGGGTCAATTATTGGAGAAGCTACAATGAATTTTACAGAAAAAGGTTCCAAGTGGAAACTTAATCTCATTGTTTAGAAAACTGGACCAGACTGGCCAGTTAAACCGGTTAAACTGTGACCCAGCCCTTTGGCCAGTTCGCTCATACACTGGAAACCGTAATTCATGAAAAGCCGACCAAAACCAGCTGACTGGCTGGTTTAACCGGAAAACCGGTGAACTGGTCCTGGTATTATGAAACTGTCTGGGTCATAAGATGAATAGAAACTTCAAAATGTTATCAACATGACTTCAACCCAAGACCTCTTGTTACAATAATCTATCTCTTTGTTTGCATTTACTTGTGCCTCTTGAATGTATTTATTGCTTTAATATACACGTACTTTGAAGAAAATGTGGGTTAAGAGACTTGAATCCTGGTCATTTATTTTACAAACTTAAAAACAAGCCATTTATTTACCACATGCAAGTGTAAAAATATTTGTGAAATATATTATATAGTATTTATATGACCTGTAAATATATATATGTATATGCCACGCCGTCATGGTTCAACCTCTGGTTTTGACCACAGTTGAACCTCTGACCCGTGAACCTCTCCCTTTTCCAGTTCTATGTCCAGTCCAGTTCTCTAAACATTGCTTAATCTCATCAGTTTGGATTGATTATTACCAAGCAGATCTCAGTTGGATCCAGAATTGGTTGGCCCCAACCTATATTGGCGGTATCTGTACTGCAATACTGCATAAGCACTCTTATGGTTTAACATTGCTAATGAATGAGTATTCTAGATGTTATGAAATATATTATAATTTCTGCTCTGGTGTTGATGTATATAGCTTGACAGAATAGCATATTTTGGTGTACTCTCAAGCTTCATTTTATTTCTCTGGCTGGGATTTCTACAGGATATTTGCCATGCGTTAATTTCATTTAAGAAGGAATAAACTATTTATATTCCATAGTTATCTTCCTTTTCTGTTCAATTTATAAGCCTCTCTTCTCTTGCAACTTCTGGTGCATTTGTATGCCCAATTGGTAATAGAAATAAGAGAACTTGTATGCCTGATGTGCACAACAGGTTTTCTTTTATTCTGTTAATGGAAATGGTTAGCTATGTATCTCTACAAACAAAATTTTGTTATGTTTCCAGCTAATTTAGGTGTTCTTTATCAAATCTGACTTTACACATCATAATGAACCCAGAGTTGCCTTCAAGTAGAGGCGAGGACCTGCAAATGAAGTGCTTGATTGAACTATATGGCCTAAAGGTAATTTTATAGTTGGAAGTGCTATGATTGCTGAATCATGCTTGCACATAAAAAGGATATGTTTACTTTCATATGAAGCTAAATTATCCTTGCCATGCAACCAATATATAAGAAATATGCTTGCTGATAAAAGTTTTTGCTTTGAGTCACTAGATTAAATACTGCTTGTGGAGGCCATATAACTGATTTGTATTATTAGGAAGCATAGTTTACGCTTTACAGCTACCAAAAAGCAGATGGACAAGTTTCTTTCCCCCTTTTTAAATTGTAATACCGTGTATCTTGGATCTTCTGTTGACTTCATCATTGTTTCATTAATTTTGAAAACAAATGGCTGGAAGGTGGTGGTATATTTGCAATAGAATCATGGTTTAAAATGTCCTTAAATTTCCTATATTTCCATTTCCATGAGTGGTGATGCGAAATTTTACTGGAATTGGCATATTCCCCAGTGAACACTACCAGCATTATGTGGAGCACACAAGATAATTTCCAGAACATATTTCCATTTCCATGGGTAGTGATACGAAATTTTACCAGAATTGACATATTCCCTAGTGAACACTACTAGCACTATATGAAACACAAGATAGTATTATAAGTTGGTGACAATATTGTAGATATGTAGAGTTGCAATGTTATTGCCCGCCTATATGAACAATATTGACAATATTGTTCTCAATATTCATTTCAAACATGAAATTAAATATTAGTTTTGTTTGTGTAATAGATTATTTGTGTGATCTACTTCAACTCATTATATCATGTGGTTTTGAATTTTAAAGTTTACTAGACAACTTCAAAACATATTCTTTTGTCTATAATCTTAGTTTTTTATCTTTGTTTAATGATTAGAACAAGATAATAATTTAAAAAGGTGTGTCTATGCTTCTTTTATCATTTTGTAAAATATCATTCTATATTTTTGCATATTTTGCAATGTTTCCGCCATGTCTATAATTTTCAATATTTCCATACGGTATTTTCCGACATGTTTCCTATATTTGGATGACTGACATTTTAAACCTTGAATGGATACACTTGTACTTTTAAAATCTTAGAAACATTTTCCTTAGATATTTTTGGATCTCCTATAACTTATTTATTCTGAATTGGAATGGAGGGATGACATGGTGTTCTGTCCTTGTGGGCAAGGATTCTTTTTCTACCAGCTAGCAGATTTGCAAAGTAAGGTTCGGACTGAAGTGAGTTCAGAGTACTGGCTGCGTGAAAAATGTGCATATCCTGGCAAACAGCTATTTGACTGGGGAATGATGCGATTACGCCGTCCATTTATGTATGGTGTGGGAGATGCCTTTGCCATGGAAGCTGATGAACGGCTAAGGAAGAAACGGGATGCAGAGGTGATCTAGTACCATATATGTTACTTTACCCTTTTCCTCAAAAAAAGTACTATATATGTTACTTGTGTTTACTAGATTCCCTTTTCTTTCTTTTTCTTCTCTTTTTTCTTTGGGGGGGGGAGGATCTGTAAACCTGGCTGGTAATGGAAGTTGGCACCTGATTTTATGTGTCCCAACTAGGCATTCTGCAAAATTTTGATTTGCTTAGATGACTGTAAGTTCAAAGTATGAGTTATCATTTTCCCTTGGATAATTACAAGAAAATTGTAATCTTATGAAGTCAATATTTCCATGGGATGACTTGTAGAAAGGAAGTTTGGTCCCCACCGGCTCTATAGGTAACCCGGGCCTATCTGGTATAGGAGGTGYTTTCAGAGATAATGAAGGCAAGATAATGGCTCAGTATTCAGGTCCAGTAGGAATTGGAGATTTCTTAAGAGCGGAAAATATTGGTACTACATCAAGGTGTAAAACTGGCCAAACAATTGGGGTTACAGCAGATTGAGATAGAGGGGGACTCCAAATTGGTAATTGGGTGGTTGCAATCAGGGCAGCTGGGAATTTGGCAGTATAGACAACTGATAAGGGAAATACTTGGCATAACAAGGGAGGTGGGTGTTTGTTTCAAGTGGATAAGGAGATCAGCAAATGGTTTTGCTGACGCCCTAGAAAAACAAGGGACTGTAAGGGAGAGACTTTATTGGGCAGTGCTGTAATGTTTGATGTTTTTAGGATCAACCTTTTCTGACTTCTGTATTTCAGTTTAATTTATCTCTAATGAAAGTTTCATTTCTGATTAAAAAAAAAAAGTGTGGCTGCAAGGTTCATAGATAGGATTTGTAAATTTCATCCGAGTCCAGATACTATTATTACATTTTCATCTCATTTTCCTAGTATCATACTCAATCCTGCTGTTGTAAACTCTTGCTACAGAGACTATCAAGGTTAGAAGAGGAGGAGAAGAACCGTATGGAGACCAGAAAAAGGAAATTTTTTGCAGAAGTTCTTAATACAGCTCGTGAATTCCAAATGCAAGCACAAGCTGCCCTGAAACGCCGGAAACAAAGGAATGATGGGGTCCAGGTAAGCCCTTTATATCCTTTTCTTAATAATTTGTTTTATGTTCCATGTCAAATTATACTCTTGTACATCTTATCTTTCTCTGATTAGTTTCTTATACATCTTGTCTTCCTAAGCCTTCAATTCATATTTTGATCCAATCCAAGAATTAAGGCGGTTTGGTTGGTCATGTAGGGTGAAATCAAGTTAAAAGTACAGATAGCAGCAATTGAATTGATGTGTCTTTATATGTGTTAATCACTAAGCCTCACATTTCAATTATCTATTCTTGATAAGTAGAATTAGAATAGAATGTATGCTATGTAAATTCATCAATAGCAATGGGATCAAAGTTCTCTCTGGATTGGAGATGAGGAGACACCTCAATGTAACTTCTTTCCTTACCTTGGTTTGATAACCCATAATGGGGGGGGATTTAGGAGGACATCATCTGAATTAGAGCAGGTGGACACTGGACAAATGGAGGATTTAATCTAGATTGTTGTATGACCGAAGAATATTAATCAGACTAAAAGGAAAATTTTATAAAATAGCTATAAGGCCAAAAATGTTGCATGGAGAAGAGTTTTGTGCAGTTAAGAAACAACATGTTGAAAAATTCATGGTCATGAATAAAATTGTTTCATGGTCTGGGTGTACTTTGGAAAGTAGGGAGTTAAGAATTTTTAGCTCCCTCCCTTGTAATTCTGAATTTCTCAGTCATGAATAAAATTCATTGTTACTGATAAAAAAAAAAAAAAAAACATGTTGAAAAATGTAAGTGTGACAAATGCAAATATTGAGATAGATGAGTGAAAAAGAATAAAGAATAGGATTAGGAAAGTATATCCATGGGAGTAAAGGAGTTGTTCCAATAGGTGATAAAGTGTGCCATAAAAAAGGTGATAAAGTGAAAAAGTAGCCTAAGATGGTTTGGGCATGTGCTTTGAAGAGCACCTACTGCACCAGTAAAAAGAAATGATATACTCCAAAACCAAGTTGAAGGGTCTGGAAAAGTTTAGGGTAGGCCATAAAAGAAGAATTCTACTCTTATCATCCTAATTCATTCTTTTGTTAAAAAAATGTCTCATGAGGCTTAACCCCCGTGCATCTAGAGGTTGTAGCACATCCATTACACCTTTGCCTTAAACTTCTCATTAATTCTCTCATCTGGTTAGTATACTTAATTAGGCTCATAGGCTGGGATGGGATTAGGTTGGGTTAGGTTCTGAGGCTTCAACTTAAACCCACATTGACTGTAGGATATTTAGGGATCTCTTGGCCTATCCCAAGCTCAAGGCCTGGAAGTGTCAACCCAATCAAACTCTTGGTAATGTTGGATCAAGACAGTTTAGGTTGTATAGGGCAAGCTATGGACCTAATGAGTCTATATTCAATATTGGAGGCTTTTATTATTGTTGTGTTCATAGCATGTTATTCCATTTGTGGTTTATGGTTAATCTTGTGCCTGAAGATACTAATTTCATCAGTGTTCCCATGAAATATTTTTTTCCTTAATTTTTTATTTTTTTTCTATTTTGAAAACTCTGGTGTTTATAAACCTAATTTGTCTTTTTTTTTAACTTATATTAAAGCTGTAAACAGGTTGGGTTTTAATTAATTGTACTAGATCAAAATTCTATTCCAATAGGGGTGCAACTTGGGTGGGCGCAACCTGAGCCCAAGCTTACCTGACCCAAAATTTTACATGGTCTGGGCTTGGATTTCTGGTCCCAGAGATGGGTATGGCCCCAAAACATCATTATTGGGCCTATCCCTTGGGTAGCCCGGGCCTGGCTTGATCCTAGGTTAACCTTGACCCAATTTGAGTCCAGTCCATCCATCCATCCATCCATACATGCATGCATGCATATATGTATGCATTCAATACCTTGGACCCAATAGGCCCGCCTGATCAACTTGAGCCCAGCCCAAGTCTATCAAGTTTTAGTTCAGGCTAAGCCTGGGTTGGGTAGATTGGGCTTAACCTCAAGCTTGGGCCTTATGCCCAAAAGTTAAGGTTGGRCTTGGGTTGACCTTAAACCTGGCCCAGCCCACCCAAGTTGCACCTCTATATTCCCTTATATATTTAGTAAATCTGGATTCAGATTGGATTCAGATCAGATTTGGATAATTTAAATGCCCTTTGTAAAATCAAGGAAAATAACTTCCATAAGAATGGTATCTACCATTGTTTTAAAAACCGGATTGGACCAGACAGTTGAACCGTTTGACCCAGGAACCGGTCATGTTTCCGGGTCTGTTTTTAGATTGGACCGCTTGTCTAAAAAAAAAAACTGTTGAATTGGTCAGAGAACCGCTGACCCGGATGGTCGAACTGCTAAATTGTTCGACCTGGGGCAACAGTTTGCAGTTTAATAAAAAATTATTTAATTTTTTTAAAGATTATTAACAGAGAAAAAAAGGAGATTGAGAGATGGGAGAGGGACTGAGACACAATCTCAGATTTGATATCATTGAGAGAGAGAGAGAGAGAGAGAGAGAGATCAGAGAAAGAGAAAAACGAGATCTGAGATCAGAGAAAGAGGTTGCTGTCACCGTCATCATCACCGGAAAACATCACATCCTTCTTTCTTTCTTTCCTTCCTTCCTTCCTTTCCTTTTTTATGTCTTTTCTTTCATTCTTGTTTTCTCAGCTGACAGCCACCTAGCTCTAGCTCTCTCTTTTCTCATAAAAGAAGAGAGATAGAACCCTAATATTCCAAAATTCCAATCTAAGGGTCAAATTGCTCGAACAGTTCAACCCGGATGGTCGAACCGCTGACCTGGAAACCAGTGATCAAAGTGGTTCTGTTTCTGGGTCGGTTTTTAAAACCTTGGTATCTACATCCTTCAAGTTAAATAAGTAATATGATAATACTCAAAACCAACTTTTTATTCTTATATACTTTCTGAGCAGATCATAATTCAATCAGATCAGGATGGATCAGAATGTGGTCCTGTTATAAATGATACATCTTTTTTGTTCCAGTCACTGTTTGATTAACTTTTTCACAAACAACCTGGAATGGAAAATACTAGTATTTCATGTTAATGAGGGATTATCTTGTTGACTTGTTTTTCTCTGTTGAAAGGATATTGGCATAGTTTGGAATGTTCTAGAGATTCTTGCAAAGAAATTCATGAACATTATAGTTTTCACCAGTCTTGAATGGCATGTGATATTTGTCAGTTTCGTTAAAATCAAACGAACAGAATGGAGGATAGTTTTTATTGGTATCCTGTGAAAACATTCATTTTTGGTCCTCTCATATGTTAACAGGCATGGCATGGAAGGCAAAGGCAGCGTGCTACACGAGCAGAGAAATTGAGATTCCAAGCACTGAAAGCTGATGACCAAGAAGCATACATGAGGATGGTTGAGGAGAGTAAGAATGAACGGTTAACAATGCTTCTTGGAAAAACTAATGATCTTCTTGTGTGCCTAGGAGCTGCAGTTCAAAGGCAAAAGGATGCAGAACATTTTGATGGAATTGAACCTTTGAAAGGCTCTGAAGATGATGATGATGCTTCTCAGTTGTCTACTTCTAAGAGTGAAACCCCTAGGGATTTGCTCCCTGATGAAGATGTGGACTTGATTGATTTAGATTCTGATCGTCGTGGGAAGACAGGTGATTTACTTGAAGGTCAACGGCAATACAATTCTGTTGTTCATTCAATTCAGGAAAAGGTAAAGAACAAAGCCTCAATCATCTGCTTCCCTCGTTCTATTCCAAAGATGTAATTTTTTTTTTTTTTATGCCTGGTTATCTTTACCTGTTGTGCAGATAATGCCTAATATGCATCTTAACAAGTGGTGTATTGTTAGAACTAAACATACAATCTGAATAAAATATCCATGCATTAATTGTTCAATATGATTAGAGTACTTAATCAGCTCTAAATTTGGTGATCTTTTTGTTTAGAAGAATTATCTTTGCCTGTTGGGTAGATCATATAATCAGCATTGTGAGCATGCTCAGTAAGGGTATTGGGAATTTGACAGTCGACATATTATTTAGTCCAAGATATCGTTAATTCAATTTCTTGTCATATCGAGGATTTTCTCTCACATGTTAGAGACATTTTCAGCGTAGAGGATGTAGAAGGTTTGTATCAATATCATTGAGGCTTCTAATTCTGTTATGGCTTGCATATCTGCATGTACTCTAATTCACTGGGAGATTGTCCTGTTTAAGTTTCACCATTCATAAATATAAAGACCAGTTTTGAAGGTGTGGGAATAATCCTCTCCAAAGCACTAAAAAAGGGCTGTAGCAGCCACATGAACAATGAGTGCCGATTGACTTACCTAATTTTAAATGGTAAAAGGTAAGAAGAGCAGAAGATAATAAAAACAAAGAAAACATAGTGTTACTTGGAGATTGGATAGCTATTTTTCCTTTCTCCAAGCATTGACCACTGGCATTTAAAATCCTCGAAATTGTGAAAATGTAAAAATATTATCTGTTAATGATCTATGATTTCCTATTTCCATTTAGGTCCAGTACAACCATATAATCTGATTGATTAGCAATAAAAACCGAAGTGCATGTTGGAGTATTTAATAAAATTGTGAAGAGGACTATAAATTCCTGACTGTAATTAGTATCTAATGTTTATTTTATTTGTACCAGGAGTAATGTATCTGACTAGCTTTTGAACTCTAATCAGGTCACTGAGCAGCCATCTATACTTCAAGGTGGAGAACTAAGACCGTACCAGTTGGAAGGTCTTCAGTGGATGCTATCTTTGTTCAACAACAATCTGAACGGMATTTTAGCTGATGAGATGGGGCTAGGGAAGACAATTCAAACTATTTCATTGATTGCATATCTCATGGAGCACAAGGGTGTTACTGGGCCCCACTTGATTATTGCTCCAAAAGCTGTATTGCCAAATTGGGTTAATGAATTTTCAACATGGGCCCCTAGGTTTTCTTTTATAACCTGCTTAAGCTTGTTCCTTTCTTTTTGCTTTTATTATTTTTAATGTCTACTGTGCTAGCTTCCTATTGACTTTTCACTGGCCTTGCATTTGATACAGTATTGTGGCCATTCTATATGATGGCCGTCTAGACGAACGGAAGCTTTTGCGGGAAGAGTATTCAGGAGAGGGAAAGTTCAATGTAATGATCACCCATTATGATCTTATCATGCGGGACAAAGCATTCCTGAAGAAAATTCACTGGCACTACATGATTGTTGATGAAGGACATCGATTGAAAAATCACGAATGTGCTCTTGCACGAACACTTGTGACAGGGTATGCCATATGCAAAATCTGAAGGTGTTTCTTATTTATTTCTTTCCTGGCATGTTTTATTGTCTGCCAGGTCATGTTTCCCTTGTTACTCTTCATAGGTTCTTCCTATGGTTTCTATCCCAGAATTTGCAGTACTTTATTATGTTATCATGCATTGTCTCTGTGAAGGTCTTTTACCTTAATGTCTTTCTTCTGTTATATTGATTGATAAACTGATATTCGGAGTACTCTAACTTAACTTATCATACTCTTTTGTTTCAATGATCCATTCATTATTGATTACCTTGTTCCAAAGAATCCTTTTGCTGRCCATTGCTTTTGGTGGTTCAGAAACCCACTTAGATCCTCAGATCACAGATTTGACCAACTATGCCCTTGTGAAATATTGGTTTGCCTAGTAACTTTTTTAGTTAGTTAGGTTTTATAATTTACCATTGGGCAATTCAAGTACAAGAATAAGACATTGTCAACAAGTTCATTTTGAAGAACCACCTTTCTTAATCATCGCTCTATGCTGGCTCAGAAATCTAGTCAGATCTCAGATCATAAGTTTGACCAAGCTATGGCATTGTTAAATATCCTAGTCACTGTTTTCTTTCTTTGAGGTTCTATGATTTGTTATTTGGTGATTCACCTCTAAAAAAAGACTGAAATACAAAGACAAGGTAACTAAAGCATCATAATTTCTACAGGTTGTCTTAACTTTAAATTGTAAATAAAAATAGCAAATATAAAATAAATACTTCTCAGATCATAATATTGACCAAGCTATGTTTTTAGGATGCCCTAGGCTGTTGTGAGAAAACTGGAAAAGATCATGAGAGACTTTTTGTGGGAACTTGGGGAAGGGAAGAAAGATCATTTGCTTAGGTGGGAGGTGTCGAAGTTGAAGGCAGGAGGGTTGGGGATTGGGAACAGTAGAATGAAAAATTGGGCCTTATTGAGTAAGTAGCTATTGGAGGTTCCCACGGGAGAGCAATAGGCTTTGGCATAAAGTGGTTGCAAGTGTTCATGGACTGTCAAACAGTGGTAGCAAGTGTCCACTATGCCTAGGAAGGCTGCCAATGTATATGTCCCTACAGATCATCATCATCATCATCATCATCATCATCATCATCATCATCATCATCATCACATCATCTAAGCCTTGTTCTAACTATATGAGGTTGGCTACATGAATCCTCTCCCTCCATTTTGTTCCATTCTTTCAAAATGACAATTCAATGTCTATGTACATCAGAGTTTGACCAAGTTCTAATGCTCTGTAAACCTGACACAATCCCCTACTTTATCAGGGCTTAGAGCAGCAATGTAATGCAAGCTCACACTGGTGGAATTTTTTTTGTCCCTGCAAATATTACTAACTAATTTCCTAATATTTCTATGTTGTCTTTTTGTCCTTAAAGAAAAGAAACCAAAATCTCTAATTGCATTTTGTTTTTGTACAGCTACCGCATTAAACGCAGGCTTCTATTAACTGGTACACCAATACAGAATAGTCTGCAGGAGCTGTGGGCCTTGCTTAATTTTCTCCTCCCCAGCATTTTTAATTCAGTGGAGAATTTCGAGGAGTGGTTTAATGCACCCTTTGCAGATCGATGCGATGTTTCTCTTACAGATGAGGAGGAGCTGTTGATTATTCGTCGTTTGCATCATGTGAGTTTTGACATCTACTCTACCTGTATGTTGTTACATTCCCTTTAACTGTTCATTTTTCATCTATTATGGGCTTTTCTAGGTTATAAGACCATTCATACTGAGGAGGAAGAAAGATGAGGTAGAGAAGTATCTTCCTGGGAAAACACAGGTCATACTGAAATGTGATTTGTCAGCATGGCAGAAAGTATATTATCAACAGGTCACTGGCTTGGGAAGAGTTGGTCTTGATACTGGTATGTTAACCTTTTGCTGGTTTCATCTGTCTGGTGAGTGTTTGTTCATGTAGCCTTAGAGACAAGTTCTCCTATCAGAGAAGCAATTTCCCCCCTGGTTCCTTGGAGGGGAAAGAAGCCTCTTATTCTAATCTCACAATATTTATGATGCAGAAAGGGGCTTCAAAGTCACAATGTCTATGAGATTACCTTAGGAGATTAATGAATAAACATTGTGACTTGTGAGAGCATTTTATTTTAATAGTAAAAAACAATTTTTGTTTTGTTTTCAATAAATGATGAAAATTTTTATTCGAACTAGAACTTACAAGGATATATCAATGTTTTAAAACATGGAGGTGTGATGCAAGGTGTTCTACCTTCCTAAGGTGGGAGGTGTAAACTAGAATGCAAGAGGCATAAGTCCCTCAAGCATGGATTTTTTTTTTTTTTTTGAAAAAAGGTAAGGTAACTTTTTATTGATGAAGAAACAATATACAAATTACGTTTGTTTTGGAAAATTGTGTTATTCCTTGTAGCCCAAATAGTACTTAATACCACAGCTGGGATGGAAGACCATACACTCTTTGTGATCTTGGACTGTCCCTTAAGCTCCCAACACCACAAAGATCATACACAGTCGCTGGCATGACCCAGTGGAGCTGCCAAAGAGACAAGAAATGGCTCCAGATTGCATAAGACACAGAGCGTGCAGGAAAATGTGGTTATTCTCCTCTTCCACTTGATTACAGAGCACACAATACAGGTTCTGGAGCTAGATTCCTCTCCTCACCAGATTCTTTTTGGTGAGACATTTGTTTAAAGCCACAGCCCAGAGTAGAGCATTTATCTTTGAAGGGACTACCTGGTTCTGGACTTTCTCTGCAGGAAACTCAGCTTGAGGGCCAGTTGCTAATTTTCTAGCAAAGGAACTAACAAAGAAAACTCCATCACTACTCCAACTCCAGTTCCACATGTCCTCCTCCAGTAAATCCAGATTGTGATTAGACAACAGCTCCAATAGATTAGAAACCAATTCTATTTCCCTGTCCTGAAAATGTCTCCTGAAAAAAGGGCACCAAATCTGTAAATTGTCTCAAACCTCACAGCAGTTAGCCACCAGGACATCTTGATTCTCTCTAACCTGAAAAAGATGTGAGGGAATAACTCTGCTAAAGGCAAGTTGCTACACCATATATCTTTCTAGAAACTTTGTCCATTTCCCAATTTCACCAAAAGGCCCCTACTTATTAGAGGGAATATCACCATGATTTTCTTCCAAATAGAGCATCCTGATGAGGTAACAGAAGTGGTTGTCACCCAGTCACCCCTATCAGTGTTGTATTTGGCTGTAATCAAGCTTCTCCACCAGCTATCTCTCTTTTTGCCAAATCTCCAGATCCACTTCCCCAGGAGAGCTTTATTAAAGACTCAATTTCCTGACCCCTAGGCCACCCGCCACCCTTTGTTTAGGGGCACAAACCTGGTCCCAGCTAACCAAGTGAATCTTTTTCTCTTCTTCGCACCCTCTCCACAAGAAATCTCTGTAGCTTTTCCACTTTTTGGGCCACTTTCCTTGGCATTGGGAAAAGAGACAGCATGTAGGTCAGACTTAATAAGGAGCTTTTTAACAGTGTAATCCTGCCTCCTAAGGAGAGGTATTTTGACTTCCAAGAAGCCAACTTCTTTTTCTAACCTCTCTAGTACCGGTTCCCACACTTCTGAAGAAGTACATCTAGCTCCCAAGGGGAGCCCCAAATAAATGGTTGGAATGAATTCATGGGCCGGGTAGCCCGATGGCCTGGCCTGGCCCGACCCGTTATTTTTCGGGCTTGGACAAAATTTCAGGCCTGCGGGCTCAGTCTCAGGCTTTAAATACCAGGCTTGGTCATTTTTCAGGCCGGGTTTGAGCTTTCTCAAATAAGCCTGGCCTGGGCCTAAGCTCGGCCCGATACTATTACATATAATAAAAAAGCATTTATGTTATATATAATATATATTTGTTTCTTAAATTATTAATAAGTATTTACTATTAGGAAATACAAATTAATTTATTAATTTATTAAATTATTACTAAATTAATATAATATTAGTTTATAAAAGTACATTGAAAATAAGACATTTTGTGTACAGGTTGGGCTTTGGGCTCGGGCTCGGGCCTTCACATTTTCTGTTGATAAAGAGGCAAAGCCTGGCCCATGAACAGGTTTAGCAGGAAGCCAACTTGACAGGCTAGAATTTCAGCTAAGTCATCAATATTCTCTACGTTTTCCATAGGAATTAATCTGCTTTTAGCTCAATTGACTTTCAGCCTTGTAACTATCTCAAACCAACAAAGGACCCCAAAAAGTACTTCCAACTGATTTCTATCGGCAATAGTGAAACAAAGGGTATCATCAGCAAATTGTAGCAATTGGACTTTTTCTCCCCCCCAGAGTGGTTTCAAAGCCTTGCTACATACCTTCACTTACCACCTTATTCACAAAGGCTGTTAATAACTTTGTACACAGATGAAGAGGAGAGGAGAGAGGTCCAATCAAAAAAAAAAGAAAAGAGGAGAGGAGAGAGGGGGTCACCTTGCTGGAGACCTCTAGAGCTCTTGAAAAAGCCAGCTGATTATCCATTTACTAGGACTGAAATTTAGGAGAAGTATAGACCTTTATCTAGTTCCTCCGTCTTTGTCCAAAATTCATTTTATCCAAGACAAAATTCAAGCATCTCCAGTTAATACAGTCATAGGCCTTTTCCAAGTCTAGTTTACAGATCAGCCCAGGTTTTCCTTCTCTTTGCCTTGAATCAATCAGCTCATTCGCCACCAAAACACTATCCAACATTTATCTACCCAGCACGAAAGAAAACTGGTTTTTTGCAATCACTGAACTCAGGACCTTCTTCATTCTCTCTGTTAAGACAAGACCTTAGCTAGGATCTTGTAGAAGCTGTTTTATAGACTTATTGGTCTGAAGTCCCTTATATTTGTTGCTCTCTCAATCCTTTGGAATTAAAGAGATGAAGGTAGCAAAGCATTCAGACTTCTTTCAAGTGTAGCATTAGAGTGGAAATCCTGAAACACCTTCATCAGATCCACCTTTATCACCTCCCAACATTTTTTATAGAAGATATTTGTGAGCCCATCTGGCCCTGGGGATTTGTTCGCTTCCAAGTTTTTTATCACATGCCACACCTCTTCCTCAGTGAAAGGGGCTTCTAGCTCTCTTTGTTGGGCCTCTGAAATCCTCTTCAAATCCAAATCAATAGGGAGGGGTCTCCTTTTCCATCTTTCCTTGAACAGATTGGAAAAGTATTGGGTTGCTATACTTTTCAAATCAGTCCAAGCTTCACCCACCTGGCCATCAAGCTCTAATCTTTCTATTTGATTAACCCTTCTTCTAGCATTTGTCATCCTGTGGAAGAAACCAGAATTTTTATCACCTGCTTTCAACCAATTTACTCTTGCTCTGTCTCTATTTTAGGTCATCCCTATAGGCTAGCTTGTCAAGAATTAGCTTAGCTTCAAGCCTCTTTTTCCTCTCTTCTTCTGAAATAGAGCCAGCAGCCTCTTCAGCCAAGTCAATTTCTTTAATTAAATTCAGACAGTTCCTTTTTTCTGATTATGACTGTTCTTTAAAACCCTGCTTCCAAGATTTTAGGAAGTCTTTGACCAAACTAAGTTTCTTAGCAAGGATATGAGAGCTGGAACCCAGAAAATCAGAATCTGACCACACTGAAGATAATAATGATCCTAGGTTGTCTTCTTCAAACCAGGCATTTTCTTGACCCCTACATCCACACGAGCTGGATAGGAGCATGATTTGAAACAGGCCTTGGAAGGATGATCTGCTTCACTTGTTGGAAGGCTTCTTCCCAACCCGGCGAGATCATAAATTTGTCAATCTTGACTAGGGTCGGATTTTCTTTATTATTTGTCTAGGTAAACTGTCCACCTAAGAGAGGCAAATCTAAAAGTTCAAATTGGTTCACAAAATTTGCAAAATTCCTCGTCTCTCTCGTTCTCCGCTACCACCCTTTCTGTCTTCCATAAATCTGATTACATTAAAATCTCCTCCCAGAACCCAGGGGATATTATGTCCCCTTCTCACCTCTGCTAAATCCTCCCAAAGTCTTTCCTTTTCTAAACTAATCGTCGGGCCATAGACATTTGTGAATTGCCATTGACCACCTCCTTCAAGCTCCAAAATTACTAAAACAGAGAACTCCCCTTCCTGAGACTGAATTAACTTCCCTTTCACTTTGTCCCAAAGGATTAGTAAACCACCCATAGAACCTCTTGCGGGATTTCTCACCCACCTCACTTGACCCTAACCCCAAATACTTCTAAAAACCCCAGCATCCAAGCATTCCATTTTTGTTTCCTGTAGGAATACCACGTCTAACTTCCATCTTTTAAGCATCTCAGACACCACCACCCTCGTCCTACCCGACCCCAACCCCCTCACATTCCAAGCTAGGATTTTCAGTTCCATGAAGAACGGTGCACCCCACCCCCTTTTTAGGTCTTTTTCTTCCCCCCTCCTCCCTTCGACTGTCCATCCCCCTTTCTCGCACTGTCTTTCAGACCCCAGGCTAGTCTCATCATCTCCTTATTTTTCCTTCCTTCCATGTTCCCTTTCTTCCCCTACATTTTCCCTCTCTCCTCCAAAAGATCTTTTCTCAATATTTTCTAGGTACTTCACTGTCTCTTCTTCCAACCCTTCAATGGACACCCCTAGGAATTTTCCCAGACCCAGCAGCTTCGACAAAACCCAAGAAGAGGTTTCTGCCACCTTTTTTCATTTGTCAATCCTTTTTCCTTCTCTACCCCCCCCCCCCTTCCACTGACATTTCTTGGAGGCTTTACATCAAACAGTTTCTCTCCTCCCTTTCCGCACTCGGCAAGTGAACCTGGATCTCAGTCTATCTCCCAGTGTCAACTATCCCCTGAGGTGGAGGTTCAATAGCTTCTAAATGGCCAATGGAGTCACCTCTGCAACCTCCTTTTCGGAGTTAAGCGTAAGAGAGAGAGAGAGAGTCAATGTCATGTTTTCTCTTCCCTCCTTGTTTCCTAGTACGACCCTTGTCATTGAGTCGTCAACCACCGGCAAAGAGCTTTCCGGTAACAGGGATGCCACCGGAAACCAGAGAGGCTCTCGTCTAGACCTCGCAAGACCACTCCCTCTTTTTGTCTGTCGAACTTTTCCTCTTCCAAATTCCACCGGCGAAGGAGAGTTCTAAGTCTCTCGGGCCCTCCGTCAAGAAAAGACAAACCCCTTGATGGGCTATCTGAATCGGGTTTGGATCAAGCTGCCCCGATGGGACGAGAATATAAAGCAATGACTTTTCCTTCTTCATCTCTAAAGGCTCCACCTATGCCCAAAGGCCCTGGATTACCTTCACTACTGCCATCAAAGTTCAGTTTGACAAACCCAGTGGCTGGTGGAGACCAAAGGGAAACAACTTTGGTCTTTGCTGGGGCTGTGTTAAGTGTTATGTCTGTGTTATTATACAGTTGTCAATTCTCAGTTAACTCCTTTTTCAAAACATTCATGAGATATCTAAGTGGTTCAGAAGTCATTGCAGGGTCAGTCATTGCAGTAGACAATTGATTATTAAAATACCATCCATCCCCCAAAAGAAAAAGGTGAATGTGATGCAGCAAGGCAAGAATCAATAAACAGACACAAGCTAGAAACACCCTTGTTCCAGGCCTCAATGCCATTGGTAGAACTTGGCAGGATCCTACCAAATGAATTGTAATCTAAGAAAGAGAGAAGTATAGAGAGAGGAGAAAGGGTAGAGAAGATGAAGGAGATAGAAACCCCAAGGAGTCAAGTTGTAGATCCCACCTGCAATAATCTGAAATAAAGAAAAGAAGGAAAAAACAGAAGAGAAGAAGAAGATTGAAGATGGGAGAGAGAAAAGTAGAGGAAGAAGATGGAAGAAAGGGAAGGAAGAAGAGAGAGAGAGTTCTAAACTTATCTTCAGCCCCCAATGATCTCTTTTATTCTTTTGTTATAAAAAATAAGAACAATTACATGAGCACCCTTAGTAGGGCATCCATCACTAAAGACACCAATTAAAAACAATAAGAAAAGAGAAAAACAGGCCCATATCTATTATCTAAGGCCCACTACCTACTAACACAAGTCATAAACACAACTTAAAGAAAAACAAGAAACTAAGGCCCATTCGGCCCATTATCTCTATAAGTCACTCCAAGAGACCTAGAATCACTCTAGGGTTTGTAGGAACCCCAAGGTATCACTCCAACAGACCTAGAATCACTCTAGTGTTTGTAGAAGTCACTCCATGCAGCAAACTTGCAAGAGAGTTCTAGCTTCAAAAGGAAGAGAATACATCTATTTATAGAGTGACTTGTGTGGCTCGGAATACTGTTCATCATAAGTACAAAAATGTCACTCCTTGTCTTGTGCATTAAGAAACACAATAACTTTCCTCCTATTAATGCAATTAAACTGGAAATTAAAAGATCCTACTAGACTAGAAAAACAAGATATCATGGGCCAAGCCCACATGGAACTGGTCAGAATGATGAAAATACCCTTCTGTCAAAAAAATACAGGAATACATAAATTTTCAGAAAATTCCAATTTTGACTCTTCAGTGCCTGCATCAGAGAATGTTCCTTGGGCTRTGTTTGGTTGCAACGCAAACACAAATATATACACTACATATTTACCCATTTTTCGGTTCATGAATGCAAACACGGTTCACATTTTAAACCATTTTTGCATTCATCTTGTTTGTTTGAAATTGGTGCAAAGTGTGGTTGTTCTCTTTTTTCTTCCTTAAGTATTCTTCTATGCACTTTCCTCTCATCAAGCCATTTTAATTTTTTATTCATATATTCATCTTTCTCCCTCTAATTGAACTTAACTTGCCAAAGGGCAAAAAGTTAAAAGCTTACTAACAAGACAAAAATATACAGGATCAGGGAAATCCAAGAGTCTTCAGAACCTGTCAATGCAGCTAAGGAAGTGTTGTAACCACCCATACCTCTTTGTTGGGGAATATAACATGTGGCGCAAGGAAGAGATTGTCAGAGCATCAGGGAAATTTGAGCTTCTTGACCGCTTACTTCCGAAGCTCCAAAGAGCAGGGCACAGGGTTCTGCTTTTCTCACAGATGACTCGTCTCATAGACATTCTAGAAATTTATCTGCAACTGCATGATTTTAAGTATCTCAGACTGGATGGTTCAACAAAGACAGAAGAAAGAGGGACGCTGCTAAAGCAATTCAATGCACCAGATTCTCCTTTTTTCATGTTTCTTTTGAGCACACGTGCTGGTGGCCTTGGTCTAAACTTACAAACTGCAGACACTGTGATAATCTTTGATAGTGATTGGAATCCTCAAATGGATCAACAGGCAGAGGATCGGGCACATCGCATAGGGCAAAAGAAGGAAGTCAGGGTTTTTGTGTTGGTTAGTGTTGGCTCAATTGAAGAGGTTATATTGGAACGTGCAAAACAGAAAAGGGGCATTGATGCCAAGGTCATCCAGGCTGGGTTATTTAATACAACTTCAACAGGTATGACCTTTAATCCCTTGGCAGTGACTTCATAACAGTGAGTAGTATAAAGAAGTGGGTGTGTCTATACATTTGAGATTGTAAGGATTCTTTGCATCAAACCTGTTATTAACTCATTCACTGAAATTAGTGCCCATGTGGAGTTATCTCGCTTGATAGTTGGCAATGCTAATTTACTTATTTTATTTATAAAAACCTGGCCATGTAAACCTAGTTGATCTTTTGTGCAGCTGAGGACAGAAGAGAGATGTTGCAGGAGATCATGCGGAGAGGTACAAATTCACTAGGGACAGATGTGCCGAGTGAGAGAGAGATCAACCATCTTGCAGCTAGAACAGATGAAGAATTTTGGTTGTTTGAGAAGATGGATGAGGAGAGGCGACAAAGAGAGAACTACAGATCAAGGTTGATGGAAGATCATGAGGTACCTGATTGGGCATATTCTGTACCCGATAAGGCAGATAAAACCAAAGATATGGAACCTGACAGTGGCAACACCATGGGAAAAAGACGGAGAAAAGAAGTGGTTTATGTTGACACACTGAGCGACATACAGTGGATGAAAGCTGTTGAAAATGGAGAAGACTTGTCCAAGCTTATGACCAGAGGCAGGAGGAGGGAGCATCTTCCTCCTGAGGCCAATGAATCAACCAGTGATAACGGAGGGGGAGAGCAAAAAGTATCAGAACCAACAAATGACGAGTCTATGACAGGTGATGGTGCCACTGAAAATTTCTCGAGTCGGACACCAAAGAGGCTCAAGATGGGATCCGTACATTATAACAAGCCTGAATATGAAAGTTCTGGAGACCGAGGTTGGAGTGGTGACATCTTTACATGGAAGACCCACAAGAGGAAGAGATCAAGCATTGGGTTTCCAAATTCATCATCTGATGCTAGAGGGCAGAGTTCCAACAGCAGCAGAGGGAACGGATGGGCTTGATTGAAATTAGTCAAAACTAACACCTAATCAATGGACAGATTTATTTTTATGTACCTTGTAACTTTCAGGAACTTTTGATCCAGAATGGGTGATCCTCATTTGATTTCCCAGTTCTTCCAGTTCTTGAAAGAGCTTAATTTTGACGCTTCTGTGGATCAGGAAACTTGTTTTTGACCCTTTCATTGGTGGCTCATGCTATTGCCCCCACTCAATTCATTTGTGATAACATGTAACATTTTATAATGCAAATAATAGATTCTTTTTTCAGAAATACTTGGATGACTTACAAAAAAGTAAAAACAGAAAAGATCCCTATRACCTTAGGAACCATCATTTTTTTCTAGTTTGAATATGAAGATTGTTTCATTTTCAAATGAACCATTGCTTTGGTTATCGTTGCTCTGTACAGAGGCCATTACCCAATGTTGGTTCCAGGTTATCATTGCTGTCTACAGGTAAGTGAAAACGAATGTGGGAAAATAGTCTTGAACGGCTGAGCCAAATTGGTAATGGATGACGTAATCAAATGATTGAACCTGAATTCACTTCACCCGACCATGCCAGGCTCATCATCATTCATGCCTCTCTCTCTCTTTCTCTCTCTCTCTTGATAGATAGATAGATACATTTGACAAAAATTAGGGGAGAAAAAAAAGAAAAAAAGTGACCCATGGAAAGAGTAAGCAAAAATCTGAAGATTAGACTAAGAGGAGGCACTCAAACTCATGTGAAGTGCAACTAAAGAAGCATAGGCGCCATCCTTGATGTTTATTTTAATTTTTCATGCTTTTCCTTTCTCTACGATTACCCCATTTTTAACAACTACTATTAGGTATGCACCTTTAATGGTAGATAACCAGTGTAAAACCACAACCGTCGTTCTGTCCACCATAACACGGTCCAATGCATCCTGTACCACTTGTTCTGACTCAGTTGAATTGAATTAAACCAGATTCATATTTCATCTGCCCAAATTGAATTGAACTGAATTGAAGAGAGGGAAGAGAACTTGGTTTGGTTGCACTGTTCAAAGTTCAAACCTGTTGCAACCCACTGATAAACTTGTGGGCATTTGCCAACTCAGCTGCACCTAAAATTTCAGCTTCTGTTGCATTTCCTTCCTTTCCATATGCAATTTTGGCTTTGATGGTGTCATTGAATAACACAGGTTCTTGGTTCACTAGATCCAACCAAAGCAACTGTTGATTTCCCACTCTGAATTAGGGTCATAAAAACCTCTGCAACAACGAGATAACCGTTGATTTCCCACTCCCACTTTCTCCAACCAAAGCAATTGTTTGAAAAAATTAGATCCAGTTCATTAGTTTTGCTTTGGGAAAAAAGAACAAATATTATAAACTACAGTTTTTATTTTATGGTTATTTATTTTCTCTGTTTTCACTTAAAAGCACACTCCTTGAGTAAGGATACTGAGAAAAACCAGAGATTAATGTTTAACAGACAGTAGTACCATCCATCGTTTGTACGACCCAAGCAATCCCCGTATAATCCACCGCTTCTCATGATAACTACAAGAATCAACATGAAATAACACTCTTCAAATGAAAAACAAAAATAAAGGACCATATAAAAAATTAAAAAAATAATAATAATAATAATAATGTTTAACAGAAGGATTTTTGTACATTGCATACGCACTTTAAAGAAATATGCTACAAGGAAACCATGAGGGGAGAAAGAAGAGTAATGAGGTACATGCACAGAAAATATCATTGATGATCTTGAATTCCTCCCACCACTGAGCACTATCATTGATCTCTTCCTTCGTCGGATTCTCCTTTTTCTCGAACACAGGGTCCTCCTCGTTGAGAATTTTCTCAACCTCTGGTGCGTATTTATGGTTGGGAAGAGTTTCGAATTCCCAGAAGAACTCATCGAGAATTTGCTTGTATTTGTCGGGTGTTTCCGGCGGATTTTCAGGTTTTTTCGCTTTACCAAACGGATATGAACCACTAATGAAAGCAAAATTTGGTGCACTAGTTGTCTTGACTCTTGAGGAAGAGAGAATTGTTGAAAGAGGCAAAGCTGATTTGAGGAACTGGGTTTTGGGGTTTCTGAAACCAGTTCTCGAACCAACCAAAATTTACAGACGCCATTGATGACTGTTACGGCTGCTCGATAGAGTTTGGAACCCTAGAAAGTGCAAACATTTGGTGTCTGGGGACCTGACAAACAAATCCAAATTGAATCGCTGACCTTGTATGCAAGAAATATCAAGGAAGGATACTGAGAAAAAAACAAGAGATTTTATTCTGTTACAAAGACGTTGAGGGTGGAATAAAGGAAGGGGAAGAAAGAAGAAAGGGTTGGGGCAAGGTTTATCCGGTGGGTGTTGTAAGAGCTACCAAAAGGAATCACGATTCTGGAAGGAATTTTTCATGGGAGAATGACTGTAGTTAAGAATTTTTTTTTTTAGGTCCACCGTACAGGGATGAATCCTGACCGTGAATTGATGCCGGGGGGCTACTAATAGACTATTGGAGGCTGTCATTTGGTATTCTGCATTGGGCGTATTTAACCCATTTTTCATCCTGTTTCCAACGAGAATCCATCATCTTTTTGAACCAAACGTGATTCTCATCCCAAGAATCAAAAGAATTGCTAGAATCACTCCCGAGGAATGATGCCAAACAGGGCCTATAGTAGTTCCAAAAGTTCCAGCCTTTTTTGTTCAAAGTTCCGGACTTCATGTGCTTTGCCTTTCCAACACACCCCAATAACGAGATCACTTGTAGCATTTTATTTATATCAAATTATACTGAATTCTAAAACATACAAAACTAGTGTATGATTAATTAATGTGATAATCCATTGAAGAAAGTCACAAAACTCAACTCTTGCTCATTTTCGGCTATTCTTTAATGAAGATTTCCCTTACCAAAAAAACAAAAGCTCTTACTCATTTTCAGGTTATCATGCCACAAAACAAGCTTCGGAAATCTGAGAAAAAATTTAAACCCAAACCTACCGGCATATCTCATAAGGCGTAACACATAAACCATCTAAGAAAAAATTAGATTAATAGCCATTTCCAAGTGCATTAAAGAAAAAGTACACTGCTACACTGGGGAGGGGAAAAGAAAAGCAAAAAGAAAAAAAACATAGCGGCATAGCCTATCCCTCTGCCGGAGTTACCGCACTAGCAACTATATAGGACTCAACGAGCTGGTCAATCACAAATCTGCCATAAGAAAAATTCTTTTAGTAAGTCCAATCTTCTATAGATTAAAAGGTCCTGTCAGAACCCAATAATAAGAGTTAACATATGTAACCTGTTACTCCTCGCTGACTTCAAGATGTTTAAGCTTTGATTCCAATTCATCCCCATTTTCATCACCCTCCTCTTTAGGATCTTCATCATTCTCTTCCTCTTCTTCATTTTCTTCTCCTTCCTCATCATTCTCATCAAGGGGCCCCAGCATTTCAGGGGATTTCTTGAATATCTCCCTTACCTCCTCAATACCTTCATCAGAAATGCAATTCCCATTGATGTTCAGCAACTTAAACTCAGGTTTATTCACCACAGCTTGTGCCAAGAGTCTGGCCCCAGCCCTTCTTATTGAATTGGTGCTGAAATCAACTTCTTTTAAGAGGCCATGGCCCTCTTCAAGCGCCTTGCCAATCACAATGGCACCCTTGTCTTTCAGTTCATTCTCAGCCAAGTTCAGCTTGGTAAGGAACTGCTTTGCTGCTATACAAGCAGCTAAGGAAGGAGCAGCTTCAGCAGTGATGTCATTTCCGGCCATCTCCAATACTTCAAGCGAAGGAGCAGATTCCTTTAAAGCATTGGCAAGGGCAGTTGCTCCTTCATCTTCCAAGTTTAGATAGCTAAGGTAAACCTCAGTAAGGCCCACATGTCTAGAAAGTGATTTACTCAAAGCAATTCCAGCATCCACACCAAACATGTTGTCCCGCAGATCAAGTTTTTTCAAATGAGTGAATGTACCTAAAGCCTCAGCCAAGGCAATCCCACCTTCAGAGTCAACTCTTGTAGAGGAGCATCTAAAATCCTCTAATGCAGGGGAATGCTTAATGACCTCGGAAATTGCAATTGCACCCTCATCTCCAGTCATATTATTATGAAAATGAAGAACCCTAAGCTTCTCTGTGGAAGGAATCAACTCGCTTACTGCTTGAGCAGCTTCCTTGGAGATGCCATCATTCATTAAATAGAGCTCTTCCAAGTAATTCTGGGATTTCAAGAGTGCCTCAAATGCCCTGACTCCCTTCTCACCCATTGCATTGTTTGAGAGGTTTAGAGACTTCAAAACACAGCCTTCCAGGGCTGATGAGAATATTTTCATCACTTCAAGGGCTTCTGCTTCTGGCCTTCCCGCAACAAAATCTGACAGGTCTACATCAGTCAATTGACCCTTGAGGGACACCAAGATGGGCTCTGCAACACGGGCTGCATCAATTCCAAAGCTCCTATTACTGAAGCATATTTTAGCGTATGCATTCCCTGGCTCTGTTAGTGGCCTTAGAAGCTCCTCGGCCTCCTCTTGCTCAATAAAGGCCCTACGACCTCCAGATATATCAAAAAATGTTTCACAAGGTCCAGCAACTTTGTCAGATATCTGCACACTTCCATCCTCCTTGAGTTGTGGACCTTTTTTAAGAACCTCCAGCATAAGCCTACTTGATTCCTTTGCATAAAGTTGCACTGCAGAACTTCCATCACCATCTGGTTCCTTTTCAAAGTGTTGGTTTGCTGTAGCAAAGGCCACTTCTTCAATTTGTTTGGCGCTCTCCTCAGCCTCTTCTTTGCTCAGGAGACCATGCTTCCTGGAAAATATGGATGGAGTTGAAAGATTCTTGGTCATTCGCTCTACAAGCATCAGCCTTGTGCTCTGGCTAGGGGGCCACAGCTTAATTGAAAATGGGCAATTTTGGAACGTCTCCATCTGACAAAAGAAATGCTGCAATGATGTGTTGGAACAACATATTAGGAAAACATAACCAAGGCAAGTAAATTTTCAGGTGAAAAAGCTCCAAAAGATATGGATGAATCACTTGTCACACCTAAGCTACATTACAGTTCCATAAAGTGACTGGTTAATTTTTAATTGTAGTACTCACAAGCAATCCATTACGACAAAATTAATGCTAGTGACGAACTTTTGTAGTTTCTAGAACCAAAATTTCAAATAACAGCTCATCCAATAAACTGATCAAATTGAAAGAATGTATTAATATCACCAGTGAATTGGCACAGTACATATGACAGGAGACAAATTCCAAGTTGCAGGACCAAAGCATCACTACTGCATTATGCAAGCATTCTTTTTTATGTTACCAGATCAAAGAACTTTGTTAATGGAAAAGATGAGAAATATACAATCATATCATCTAGCTCCTCTAGAACCAGATCAAAACAAGGCTAACTACAACATAAAATGCACAAAATACATTAACAACCTCCAAGCATCTATCAGCACTGCATTTTCTGGTACAGAGAGATTCCAATACAATTAGGATCTCCCCACACCTCTAGCTAAGTTGTCTGCTAGGGAGTTGCCCATTTCCATGCACATGTCAATGAAGTGTTCACTCTAGTATATCCGACCTAATGTTTAAACTGCCATGGCTTGTTTCTTTCTTTGAGGAATAGTTAAGTATATTAAATAATAAGAAGTTGTTTCAAAAACTGAATAGAGGAACACCAGACATGGGATTTTTGTTGTAATACTCTAAGGTAAGCTGTACTGTAAGTTCATGCTAATTGTACTCTCTTCTTTCCCTATTTTTCCCCATCCTTACGTCTATCTACAATTCTACATGCATTGATCCTTTTGTCATTGGAACAAATTGGAAATTCTAAAAGTTAAATTTCTTTGCTGGTTTAACCAATACTCTCATAAATATGATGTACCAGACTTTGAACTTTCAAGGAAAGGTGCTCAAATAAGAAACTTGATCTTTCCAAAAACTAGCAGCCTCCAAATCACCTCAGGTGGAATTAATATTTTCATGGTCGCAATTTTAGATTCCATATAACAGGGAAAAAATTATCTTCACATCTCCCACTAAATAAGAACTTATTACTCGTTTCAATAAATTGTCTACAAAATAACCAAACCTCAGTTTTCTCAGGACAAGCTGTAGCAAAATACATGACATGAGAACATAATTGCATCAAGAGGGAGCAACAACATAAAACTGCTACAACCAACATAGTAACAAACTGGCAAAAAATAATGAGAAAAGTAGCTAGAGCAAGTTTCACGAGGCAGGGTGCTCAAATAAGAAGCTCAATCTTTCCAAAAACTAGCAGCCTCCAAATCACCTCAGGTGGAATTAATATTTTCATGGTCACAATTTTAGAATCCGTATAACAGGAAAAAAAAATATTTATCTTCACATCTTCCAGTAAATAAGAACTTATTATTTGTTTCAATAAATTGTCCACAAAATAAACAAACCACAACTTTCTCAGGACAAGCTGTAGCAAAATGCATACCATAAGAACGGAATTACATCAGGGAACAATGACATAATACTGCTACAACCAACATAGTAACAACATGGAAAAGAATAATGAGCAAAGTAGCTAGAGTGGGTTGTGACCACGTTGAAACTCTTGCAAAAACTCTCGTCCCCCCACAAAAAAAAAAAAAATGTCAACACAAGTACAAATGTTGAGGCTAAAAAGGATAGGATCAAAAAACGAACGTATTCAAAGGAACATGAAATTAGCTCCTATGGGTGACAAAACTAGGGAAAGTATAGCAAGAATAAGTTTTCTGTTACAAGTTGAAATGTTTAGAATAGCTACAAACAGACCAAAAAGGAGATGGGTTGAGGTAGCGAGAAATGATTTAACAGCCATGATTTAAATAGAGTGGAACGGCTGAAGAGGATTCATTGTAGTCAACCCTACCAAAAATAAATTAATTCCATAGAAGCTACAAATCCCTAAAATAAGGTATAAAATAAATTTCCGAGCGAGTAGAGAGACGACTCATCAACATTATTCCATCAATTTATAGAAGAAATATCCAGATCCGGTCGCTAATTCCAGCAAAAAAAAAAAAAAACTATTAACCTGATTGTTTTACAATGCATTACTTAAAGTACCAAAGGATGGTTTCAACCTAAGTGCAGCGAATTCAGCGAAAAAAAAAAAAGAAACTTTGAACAGAAAACGAAGAGAAAGAACACAGCCATTACAGGCAATATTAGAAACATTTTGTAACAATAGAAACAATGGAAACAAAATGGTTCAAAACCCATAAATGGAGATAGCCGGAACAAATATATAGGAAAAACAAAAGCCCTAGCATGAGAGCAAACCTGAAAACCCTAGAAAAGCGGCAGGAAAGGGCAAAATTAACTTTCGAAAACAAAAAAGGTAAAATGAGCCCTAAAAGAGAGACTGTGAGAGCAATGTGAAGAGACGAGAAGTACCTCTCTCTCTCTGCCCCTTTCGTGTCGCCGATCTCTGCCTGCGCTCTCTTCCGCTATCTAATCAGTAATCTGTAATCATCAAAATAAGTTACGTTTACGAATATGTGTATCGGTGCGTGTGCGTGTACTGGACAAATGGAGGGAAAACAACAACTAAACTGAAAATAAAGGAGCGAACGGCAGAATTCGGAATTCATTTTTTGGAAAATTACACAAACCCCCCTGTAGTATGGGGTGCGTAACAAAGACCGACCCCTGCACTTTTTTTTCGATAAAGACCTCTTGAACTTTTTACGTTGCGACAAATACAACCTCGGTTGTGAAGTCACTCGTCAGATGACATAACAGAAGGCGTTAAATTACCGAAATATCTGACTAAACTTTCTTTATTTTCTTTTTCCTACCTATTTTCTCTTGAAACCTAACTGACCATAGATGATCCAGTTCCAGTATGTAATAACAAGTTTCTCTTCTACCCCTAATTGCAAAAGATTACTAACCAGTGAAATAGCTTGTTTGTTGTTGGCAATGCATTGGTCTCTCTTTTCAGAAGCCCAGAAAACATCTGACTTTGTTGACATGTAGAGTCCAGGATTAACAATCAATGGCATTTCTAACCAAATGCAAAGTTAATCACTCCTTAAATCTTAATTGAGGGAGAAAGTGAACAACAACAAACTAAACTCACTCTTTCCACCCTAGCTGACTTGTATGCTCTATGAAAATTCAGGTTTCTGTCCAAAGTAGAACATGTGTGCAGAATATATGCATCCCAACAAATCTGACCACCTAAAGATGCTTGAATCAGAATATTTTCTCATCCATCACCCAATAAAATAATGAGTTTGCATGCATATAGACGATAACTAAAAAGATTGAACTCAGGAAAAAAAAGCGGATCAAAAAACAAACTATCCTGTGTTACAAGAGGATAATCTGAAGCATTGAGGTTTATCGACCAATCCCATTCCTTATTTTCCTTTAGAAGAATGAAGAGTATTATCAACCATATTAGCTTTTGTAATCATGCCGATTGTGAAAGCTTTTTTTGATCCAGAGCTTCTCCAAATCACCTTTTGATCCAGAAACGAGGTAAGCTAGCCGAGGAATGGGAGGGGCAATGGGTGGGGGTGCTAATTAATTGTGAAAGCTTTGATTCAAAATAAACAGACTTTGTTTGGTTTAAAGAGATCGATGCGCAGTGGAAGGATGGAGAAGAATGAGTTGATTTTGTGTGATGAAGATATAAGACCCATGTTGAAGGATGTAGTAATGAGGAAGATGAAGATTAGAGAGGTCACAACAAGCGGGAACACCCATTTCTTCTCTGTGTAATAGGCTCCCATTACAGAACTATATCATGTGCTCTGCTCAGTACTGTTAACTTCTGAGCTGACACCTCAAGCTTCTAACAAACTATAAATCAAACCACCAAGCACCAAAATGAATCTTCAGGTCATCCAGCCACTGAGGGAAGATGATGAAACAGAAGTTAAAAACAAAAAAAGAAATGAAATTCTTAAAAGAACTCAAATAAACACTAAGAGAGTTGAAGCCTTTCTAGGTCTTTACTGTAGCGTTTTGGTGAACTTCCGTGGAAAAGACAATGAATAGTAGAAAGTGTAAAGAAAAGGGCAGTTTAGGCATTTAAAAAACTTTAAATATTCAGATGAAAACTTTTTCAAAGTTAACTGATGGAACATTAACGGAGGGGGTCTTTGTCTAATGGCCAAAGTACAAGAAAGTTTTTGTCACAAAAAAAAATGCAAGGGGTCTTTGCCATAAACCTCATAGTACAGGGAGGTCCATATAATTTACCATTCATAATCATTTTTTAACTACAAAGACTAAAAGGCCCCTCATTCTTGTAACTTGAGCCGAGTTGGCATTAGGCAATTTTGGTTGAGTTGGATCAGGTCAAATGTATATGCATGTATTTATGTATCTACGAATGAATGCAATTATGAAATGAAATCATGAATACATGCGATTAAATAAGTTTAATGACAAAGAAACCCTCGAGTTAGGTCTCATTTGTTTATTGGTATTTAACTTGGTTAAACATGCCACAATCCATGTATTAGTAAATATTGAGTCCCATAGTAATTTAAGATATTGGAGAGTATAAGTTACTACTTGATAGGGTAAGTATTGTACAAGAATGCTTGAACCTCATTTATCCAGATAAACGTATTTTTCCACATAAGTGAAAACAAATGGGACCATTATAATCATCCCATCTTGACATTTAAAATTTGTTCTTGGCTTGACAAAGCATATGTTTGATGGGGTGAATTATTTCTTTTTTTGGTAAACAATGATATTAAACTCCATAAACAAAGTAGAACCCAAGGCCAATACACCAAAGTTCATCAAACACAGGGCTAGCCAAGAGGGGGAGAACCCAAGGAGAAACCATTCCCCTCTAACACAATATTGAGACGCTGCTGAGCTATACCGTCTAACCCAAGGTTCAAAGTATCGATATGTATTAGATGATACGTATTGTTTTGGGATCTCCTCGATACACTCCTACAATGGGTGTATCGGGGTTTTGACCGGTTCAGGGGTGGAGTCTTAAATCGCCCCCCCCCCCCGGAACTGGTTTTGAAAAAAAAAAAGTAGTATTGATATCGTCCAATACGCCCCTACCAGAATATCGGGCATATCGATATTTTGAACCTTGGTTCAACCTACTTTCAACCCTTGTATTGGTTTTCCTATCTTTCCCTTCCTTTCCCTATCTTTTCCTTCAAACCAAACATAGCATAAGGGACCATTCTACAAGACGATTTTTTTTTTCTTGTTGCTATTCCAAAACTAAATAAAAAATTTCAAAACAAAAAAAAAAAAACATAAAAAAAATGTTCTTGGTTATATATGGAGTTTATGTTTTCAAAACTAAAACAAAAAACTTGCTCTTGAATTTCTGGTTTCAAAAAACATGTTTTCATCTAATTATTTAATATTATGTTCCACAAATATAATTTTTATACTATAAAATAGTTTTATTTTAAAAACCATTATTTTGATTGTTCAAAAAACATAATATTGTTTCTTTTAAGATAAAGCCAACTTATTTTTCTCTTTGAAAACAAAGTAATAGAATTCAGAAAACATGTTTTATGTTTTTTGCTAACATGGACATTCCAAAAACAAATAAAGCGTCTATTTGGCATCGATGTCGTTGCTCCAAAAAACGGCGAAGCATTAGCGTCATGTTGGAAAAAACAGTGCTCTAGGAAACGCTTATTTGTTTGGAACTATTTTTTTCATAAAAAATGGTGCTCCAAGCCAAGCATTGGAAATCGGGAAGGCATGACTTGGAGTAACGCTGAACTTGGCATTTCTTGGAGATGCAGCTTGTTGCTACCAATAGGGACATGAGGTGGCAGTGACAGGGACATGATGTGGCACTGGATAATAGGTATCAGTGCTGAAAACTTTTCCTGGAGCATTGGTACCAAACAGAAAACATTGCTATTGCTTCAGGAACGTCCTCCCTGGCAGTAACATTTCCAAACAAGAAGAAGACACCATTTTCTCAGAAAAATGGTACTTAAAACGGTGTTGCATCTGCAACGTCGATGCCAAACATGTGCAAAAACAAAAACATTAAAAGGCGGCCAAAATCAAGCTGAAAAATCTCAAGCACTAGACCATATTTCAGCGGGAGGAGACGAGAACTCATCAAGCACTAGACCACCGTGGAACAATCACAGTAAATCCTTAAAAGCTTTTAACTCTAATTTTCTATCTAAATGCAGGCATGCAAGCAAAGCCTCGAGAGTTCATATAAAGATGGAGGATCTCTCATGTGCAGAAATTTGAGTCATCCTTCAACCAGTCCAAAAGCAAATGAAAAGATTTTCATCAACCACTGTTGCATTCAACCCTTGCAATTGCCCAAACGTGGAGTGGAGTGTGGAGACAATCTCCCATTCTATTTTGATTTTTTGAATTCAAAGCACTAGCATTAGCATATATCTGTCACAGCTGATCACAACTTTTATGGCCAAAACAGAAAAAAAAAAAATGAAATTGCGCATCCGGGGAATCGAACCCCGGTCAGTACCGTGGGAGGGTACTATGATACCACTACACCAGATGCGCTTTTGATGTCTAAATGTACTTGTGCTGGAATTTTTACACAATTTAAGACATTAATCATTTGGAGTCGAGAAGAATTGCCACATCCACAGTAGGTCCCACATTTCCACTAGTTGCAAGTTGCAACTTAGCAATTAAGGCTAATCATGCTCTCACAAGTAGGGTAACAGATTCATGTAGAGGGTGTTTTGGTCTTTAACACCATTTGTAAAAAGAAACAAACAAACATCTCACTCACATGGGGATGGGATCTACTCGATTGTAAATTAGCATTCCTTTGGTTCCCACTTCCCATCATTCTCTTCTACTTCTCTATTGTTTGTTATTGAAGAAAGATTGGCATTTCATCAGTCTTCATGGAATATGCATGCATGTCTGGGATTTCTTTTTCTACAAGAAAGACACCATTAATTAATAATTACCCATGAGAAAAGTAAATTAATATTCCGCCTGTTAGCTGTTAGTTTAAAAATTAAGGGGAGAGCGAGCTTCTTCAATCAATCTATCAATGGTGTTGCCTAGGATCCTTAACCTTGATCTTCCAGTGCCCATCGGGGAAACTAGCATTCTTCGCCCGTTCTCTCCACTTGTTTATCCTTGCATCCATTTTCTTAGTGAGGCTGCAGTAAGGTCTCAACCTCTTCGGCATTGCGTCGAACACTTGCCACCACTTTCTGTGAGCCGAGTCACTCGCAAATATACGACGTTTCCTCATATCCCAGTTACAGTCGTAGTCCCTGTAACACATCCATGGCTTCAACCCCAAATAATGAATCGCGTACAGCGACTCCGGCAGCTTCTCTCTTTCACTACTTTTGGTCTCTTCGAAAACTTTTAGATAATTCAGAGTCGACGGCCACCGGTGCCACCACGTAAACACTTCATTCAGAAAGCCCTGGTCTCCTCCATTGTACGAAACCACATTTTGCTTCCTCTCCATCAGCTTCCTGAACGTGCACTCCGACGGCTCAATCAACATGATCCCAGAATTGAAGAGAACCTGGTCGTTTCCTACGGCCGATAACTGGGGGTACCGGAAAAATTCATCGATGTTCCTGAGTGCGACCAAATCAGAGTCTATGAAGATGATCTTGTCATACTCGGTAAGCTGCCATATCCTCAGCTTACTATAGTTCCACTCGTTGTAGGCGTTTCTCCTGGCGTTGGGGCTTCGGATGCGCTTGATTTGCTTGATCTTCCATCCGGCAGTCATGAGGGCCCGCCGGCTTGTCTTGGTTATGGTTTCATCGGCAAGTAGGACCAAATCTTTGGTGGAGTTGGACTGAATTATGCTCTGGGCCAAGATTATTGCACCACAGACGTAAGCTTCTGAAGAATGGAGGACTGTCACGTAGGCTTGTCTTGACTTGATATTTTCCTCACCTGCTCCCATTTCATTCAAACCCATTAACCATAACAAAAGAATTAACCCAACAAACAGAAAAAATCAAACATATCAATCGTGTGAAAGGTGAGCGTCAATATTATAATGCATGTGATCTTATCCAATTCACCTATAAAGTGATGACCCATGCAACAATGACAGTCTATCTAGACTCTTGCACAAAAAAATTAGAAAAAAAAAAAAAAATGATGCAATTGGAAATTGGTTGTTCGTAACCATCATACCTAAAAAGAGCTAAGAGCATGTGACTAGTAACTGAGATCATTGAATTTGTACCACACAAGCGTGCTTGAAATAATGCTATCAATAGGTAGGTCGGGTCTATCTGATAGAACCCAACCAAACTGAACTGAACCGATTATACTGGTTCTGGTTCTGTGCTTTGTGTTTCAATTATAATTGGGTTGGAACCAGGCTTTTACTATATATTCTCAACCAATTAAGACCTGAGCCGATTATGTCATTAATAATATATAAAGTTTTCTTCGTTTAATTTTCTTGTAATTTTAATTTGTTATATTTTATATTGAAAAGTGTAAATTTATAATTTTGGTTAAAAAAACACTTGTTTTATATATCAGCATACAAACAATTGGCTACTTTTGTTATATTATTTATATGTAATTTATAAATGTTAAGTATAATATAGCAGGGTCTAATTGGGTCAGACCCTATTATCCCAGCTTATAATTGGTTCTATTCTGGTTCTAAGTTTTATGTCCCAATTATATTTCGATAAGGACCGGTTCAGTTGCACCCTGTCCCGGGCCCACCTGAAAAAGAGAATACAAAAGCATCATAATGAGTCGATCTTAGAGATTTTCTAACTGGAATAACAGATAGGAAATCGCATGGGCTCCCCACATAAACATCCAGCCGTAAATTGGGAATAATATTCTTAATGCACGCTGAGATGCGCATGTGGAGCGCGCTCCGTGGGGAGCCAATCAGAAGTTGATCAGGATTCAGGAACAGCAAATTAAAACAACAGGAAATAGGGTCTCAAACATTATATTGCTTCTTCACCTGCCCTTCACAAAATCAATGCATTATTTCTTGGACCAACTTTCTAACACCCACCAATATTAATTAATTTTTGGATAATCACGCCATTAAACACCTTCAAACAAAACCAACCCCAATCAACCATGGGAACCATGCATTCAACCTCTTGAATTCCTGAGCGTCAATAGCTTAATTTCTATTCTGAAACTTCATGGTCAATCCAAGTAATTAGAGAGGTTAGTCAAGCAGCTGACCTCATAGCCAGCAAAAGGATGGGTAGACTTCAAAGTGGGTCGATCCTGAGCGTCAATAGCTTAATTTCTATTCTGAAACTTCATGGTCAATCCAAGTAATTAGAGAGGTTAATCAAGCAGCTGACCTCATAACCAGCAAAAGGATGGGTAGACTTCAAAGTGGGTCGATCCTGAGCGTCAATAGCTTAATTTCTATTCTGAAACTTCATGGTCAATCCAAGTAATTAGAGAGGTTAATCAAGCAGCTGACCTCATAGCCAGCAAAAGGATGCGTAGACTTCAAAGTGGGTCGATCCAGAGAAATGCAGTAGTTCCTTCTGATGTTGTTCTGGCTGATTATGGYACAGAATTACCAGAATACAGAAATTGACAAAATATGTGGATCCCTACTGCTTTATGTGTAATGTATCGATCAAATGGTGTTGCGAAAGAATTGGAAATGAAACAGGTATTATCACAAAGTGACAGAAACCTAAAAATATCCATGCAGTTCAAAATTTAGACGCTATAGCTTCATATTTTTGTATCTTTTGTTTCCATATTTGTAAGCCATGAAAGACAAAACAGAAACAAGGCAAGAATAAGATCACAATAAATGTATAAAGGAGAGAGAGAGAGAGAGAGAGAGACCTTGGTTGACAAGAGGCGGAGCAAGTTGGCAAGAACCAACTGGCATAAGAACGTTCTGTTTCAGTCTCCTCAAATCAGGTTTGTAAATCCAAAAGTTGTCTCCTTGCATCACGAGATCATCACACCGGAAGATCTCCAACATTGGCTCGCACGACCCAATAAACACAGCGAACACTGCCCGATCGCCGCCGTCGTCGTTATTTTTTAGACCACTCCTCACCACCAAATTAGCAACCACCAGATTGACCTGTAGCCTGAACACATCTCTGGCCCCTTCTCTGCCCATGCCGTTTCCACATGGGACGCTCGAGACCACGATATCGAACTGATCATCATACACTCCGAATACGGGCATAGGAATTTCAGGGCATGTGGGCGACCCCCATTTCTCCTTTTCATCAATCCACTCAGGGAAGAATTCTTCCCACCGCCGTTGTTCCGGCACTCGGTCGAAATATACTAAACTCGTTTCACCCAACGCTTCCCATTCTTCTCCTTCATCTGTGTTTACTAGACCGATCTTGGTCTCTATTCTTCCTTTGAATTCTTTTGCAAGGAATTCGACCGGCGTGGAGTGCCGTTTCTTTCGTCGTTCGACGGGGATTTTAATAACCCAATTCGATTTTCCTACGGGAGACGCATTCTGAATGCTGCGAGTGAAACTCGGGTGATCTTTTAGCTGGAGAGTTGAGGTTAGCACCAGGATGGATAGAGATAGAGAGAGGGAGATGAGAGCAATGGTGAAGAAAACAAGCCTGAGATCATAAAGCTTGGACGACATTTCAACTGCCCACTTCTAACGTTTCTCTCATTCTCTGATGAAGGTTATTATTTATATGGAGTAGGAGAGACTAGAGAGCGTGTGCTGTGTGCATGGGCGGGCGCACAGTCTACATTTATGCTGAGGAAGTCCAAATCCAAATGTATGCCAACCCAAACCGGGTTCAAGAACCCTAATTAAGCCAAGTCGAACCCGGCCGAAGAAGAAGAAGTTGGAGGGTCTGAAGTCTGATCTGCTAAGAACGGACCAAGCCATAGATGTTGGATTAAGATAAGCTTTAAATTAGGAATAATGCATGCAAAGCTGTCAAGTTTTAATTTATAATCGAGAAGTTTGGTGTTGAAAAATGTAAAATATAAATGGGCTCAACTGCCCAATTAAATTAGTGGGGCACCTCTTGATGAGTTGACTAATTGCAAATTCAGATGCCAATCTGATGGTTGTGATTGTATTTTGCCAGATTAACATTTCATGGTAGAGAGGAGGAAGAAGAAAACTAATGGAAGTTCAGTTCCTACTCCTTTAAAATGGCATGCATGACTTTTTTTTTGGATAGTCAAAGAAACTATTATATTAATTATGCAAAAAAAAATCATTATACACAGTTTGTAACAACCAGATAAGAGAACTTCCCTCCACAATACATTAAAAAAAAAAAAAAAAAACAAATTTGGGCGTTTGATGCGTCCAGTTCAAATGAATTAGAACAACCCATAAAATGCCAATTCACATGCTTTCCTTAATTAAAAGTTTAAAAACAATCTCTTCTTCCTTTTCTTTTTTTCTTTTTCCTTACGATATCTCTGTCTCTCTCTCTCATGCACAGTTTGGATCTTGTACATAAACTTATTCTTCATGTCCTTTCCTACCAACCCAATAACGAAACTACACCAATCTGATTTCCAAATGGTTGTAAGTTGTAAGTTGTAACATCCCTCACTCATGAGAAAATTTGTTAGTTTCATCCACCCACCAACAGCTTTCCAAAATTTGATGTTTTAATTCGTTTTAGCATTTAAATATAACAAGTGCATGTTGATGGTTAGTTTCTTCTCATGGTCAGAATTGATAAAATTGACCTTACTTAGCAGAGACACATTCTCCCACGTTGACACTTGATAGAGAGAGGATGGGCTTTCTGGTTTACTCTATTTCTTGTTTTGGGTTCGCACTGAAATATGGGATGGGGCGCTCTATGTAGTGGGTACTGGGCTTGCCGTGCATATGGGTTGGGCCTGATTTTAGACCAAGTGAACTAATCAACAGAAAATAGGAATAGCCCAGCCTTTCACTTAAAGGTGTTTATTCAGATAACTATGCGGAAAATAAGAAGAAGAAGGGAAAAAAAATACAAAAAAAAAACAAAATTAGGACTCTTTTCATGGAGGCATTAGATTCTAACCGTAAAGGAGTCCACTTGAGAAGGACAGCGGAACTGCCTGGTCACATTGATAAGATGATAAAGCAGAATAAAAACATGCGCTCAAGAAACACATACAGGTTCTAGGGAAATCATTTTGATTATTTTTTCTGTTTTTTGGTAGTAGAGATTAAGGGTGTCAATGGACCGGTTTTGGATTGGACCCCATCCAGTCTAAAATCAATTTGGATGGATTGGACGGACCAAGAAGACACATTGGATTGGACCAATAATATTTATTATATAGATTGGATTGGACCTGGTCTGTCCACAACAAATTTATATTAGATTGGGTTGGATTAAAGCAATATCTGGTCCATTGATATAAGACAAGAATATATGTGTCAATAGATCGGGTTTGGATTAAAACCAATGTAAATCAAAATGAATTTGAACAGATTGAACAATCCAGACATTGAATTGGACCGGTCCAAATTGATTCAAAACATTCATTGAATTGGATTGGACCTGGCCCATTTATAATGGACTTACATTGGATTGGATCATATCGGACCAAATCCAGTCCAATTGACACCCCTAGAATAGATCAGTAAAACCCATAAATGATTTTAGTTTTTAGGCTTTTATTCATCCATTTTCCCATGTATTTCTAATTTTGCATTGATTCTTGTTACTGTTGAGATGAGGAAATTGAAAGACGTAGGGCTCTAATAACTTATTAAGCACAAAAAACGTCAGAGGCGCCATAGTGTTAACGGGGTGGATACTTTGATGCTTACATAAAGTTAGGAGGGAAGAGCAAACTAGAAAGAGAGAATTAGACCTTCACAGTGAGAAGTTGTGAAAGTGAATTATACCTTGGGTCGAGTGCTTTTATTATATAAAGGAGTCTAAAGCAATAGATGACTATTTCAGCCCAGCAAGTTTGCTTGTGTGGGTCAGTTTCCACGACAATCAAGTAAGTGTTTGGCATCGGTGGTGGGAACATCGCGTGTACCTCTCTATTCAAAGGWTGCCTGACAAGAGTTTTTTGTTCATGTAAGACAAAACCAAGCAAAATTGGGATTTTAAGAAACTTAAACCACACATGATGTCATATGCTAACAGAAATGGGGTGGGAGGTTTTTGTCTGTGTGTTGATGTCATGTAACAGCGGAGGTCTAAGTCCAATATGAAAATTTAGGAGATGTTTCGTTATTTAGGTGAAATATCAGAGGAGCTTGGTCTTGTACCCTAAAATAACAAGCAATTTTTTTTTTATTATATTTTCAATTTAAAACTCTTTGCATTTATACTTTTTGTTTATTTTTGAATCACAAAAAAAGGATAGAATCCCAAACAAAGAAACCTGAATTTGCCAACGAATTTGCATTCCTCTCCAAAAACATATATTTTGAAGTTGCCAAGAAACAACCAACTAAAAACCTTTAAGGAAGGCCACTCAATATTGATGATAGAATCATAGAATAATAGGATAAGCTCTTAATTGAGCCCTCAATTTGTTTTGGCTCAATTTAGAAGGAGCACAAATATAAATATGTATAATATAAATACATACAGAACAAATACAAAATACAAATTTTTGCACTGTGCATATAAAATAATATGTTTTAAACTATACATATTTGTATTTTGTTCTACTTTCAATTTTCAAACTGAACCTTACCAAAATCATGGTGATTATATGCACGAACAACGAGATGATTTTTCTAGTCTCACATCAAACAGTGGTCCACCACTCCACGCCACACTAAGAATTAAACTTGATCTAAACATTAAAGACTAACAGAGTCCCTAAAAAAAACCGAGGTCGGATCTCTTGCCCACAAGAACTCTGTTCATGTCTATTCACATAACATCGCGGCCATACATAGAGAATATCTTATCCTCCTGCATAATATTATGTATTGGAGATATTCGCAATGTACGGGAATAGTGTGATGTAGATAGATTTCTTGTGGGCAGGAGATCCGAAGTCAAATCAACCTARATGTCTGCTTTAATCTTGATTTTTCTTTTTTCTTTTTTTTTTCCAAAGTTAAGTCCCATCTTAATCTTTTGATCATGGGATCATTTTATTGGTTGGTGTGAGGAAACACTCGTACAAGTGTTTCAACCGTTTGGGTCGAATAGTTTGACCCATGGCATGATAAATTAATTAAAAATAAAAAATATTTACAAATAAATTGCATTTTGAGAAGTGATTGGAATTATTAATAGGGATGCAAATGGATCAGATCGGATTTGAATCAAGATATATTCAAATCCGATCCAACATTGTTTCTGTCAGATCCGAAGATCCTATCGGATCTGATAGGACTCGATTTTAACCTATTGATAAACCGGATCTTCAGATTTGATCCAATCTAACTTGTTTTCTTTAAAAATTAATAAATTATTAAAAGAAAAATAAAATATAATAATTTAAATAAAGTAAAAAATACAAGTATTTTTTAATTATTTTCATCATATATATACATGTTTTTTCTAAAAAATAAATAATATAACAAACTTATAAAAATATAATATAAAAACTATATTTATAAATAAATAGCATATATATACATATATATGTATTATATATATATATTTTTATATTTATAAATATATAATATATCGGATCGGATAGGGGGTGATCTAAATCCAATCCAGTTTCTGATCAGATCCTATAATCCGATCCAAATAGGGGTGTCCGAATTCGACCAAATATGATCAGATCCTAGATCAAATCAAATCATGATCTGATCCATTTGCACCCCTATGAATTAATTTAAGCAAATCAAAGCCTATGAACTATGAAGCATTTTATACTTTCATGGTTTCATTGTGTCGGCAATGGGGGTGTGACGATGTTGGGCTCACAAAGTGGGGAAATCGCCACTGGTGGATTGTAGTTTGGTCGTTGGTGATTGCCGCTACAACTCCAATTGAGGAGCAGAAAGATAGAATTATTTGCCGCTGCAAATCCTACACCGTAGGTCACCATAGATGAAGCCTCAATCGCCACCACCGTACTTCACCATAGGTCATGGCCACCGCTAGGGGTGCAAATGGATCGCATCATGATCTGATCTGAGATCCAATCCTATTTGGTCGAATTTGGATCACCCCTTATCCAATCCGAGAAGATCCAATCCAATATATATATACTTATAAATATAAATATATATAATACATATATATGTTATTTATTTATTTATAAATATATTTTTATATTATCTTTTATAAATTTGTTATATTATTTATTTATTTTTACAAAAAACATGTATATATGATGAAAATAAGTAAAAAATATTTGTACTTTTGTTTTTACTTTATTTAAATTAGTATATTTTATTTTTCTTTTAATAATTTATTATTTTTTAAAGAAAACAAGTCAGATCGGATTAGATCCAAAGATCCAACTTACCGATAGGATTCGAATTCGATTTGAGTCCTATCAAATAGAATCGGATTGGATCTGACATGAACAGTGTTGGATTGCATTTGAATATGATCTGATCCGTTTGCATCCCTAGCAGTCACAGGTCATCGGAGGTTACCAAGTGGCTGAGAGCTAGGAAGGGAACAACAAAGACGATTTTTGTTCAAACCCTAGCCCTAATGATTTTGTTTGGGAGTCG